TTGCAACAAACGAAAGATTACAATAATAAAACAACTATATTTAACACAGGGCTAAGAATGAACGTGGAGCTTCGTGTCGGCAACCGCTTCCGAATCGGGCAAAAGATTGGGTCAGGCTCTTTCGGTGAGATTTTCCGCGGTACTAATATTCAGACCGGTGAGCCGGTGGCTATCAAACTCGAGCAGTACAAAACACGTCATCCACAGCTTATGTATGAAGCACGCTTCTATCGTATCCTTAACAGTGGTGGTGGTGCCGTTGGTATACCGATAGTGTTTTATCATGGTACTGAGGGAGAATTTAACGTGATGGTTATTGAACTTCTTGGGCCCTCTCTCGAAGATCTCTTCAGCTTCTGTGATCGGAGGCTGTCCTTAAAAACGACGCTGATGCTTGCCGACCAGATGATTACTCGCATCGAGTTTGTGCATAGCAGAAGTATTCTCCATCGAGACATCAAGCCCGACAATTTTCTCATGGGTACCGCACGTAAGGGGCATCATGTATACGTTATTGATTTTGGGTTAGCGAAAAAATATCGAGACCCACGCACTCATCAACACATTGCATATAAGGAAGGAAAATCCCTGACAGGCACAGCACGCTATTGTAGTGTCAACACACATATTGGTATTGAGCAAAGCCGACGAGATGATCTGGAGGGTATCGGATATATTCTCATATACTTTTTACGTGGCTCTTTGCCGTGGCAGGGTCTCAAAGCTCATACGAAGCAAGACAAATATAATCGTATATCCGAACGAAAGCAATCGACACCAAGTGATGTCCTGTGCAAAGGCTTGCCGCAACAGTTCATAGCGTATATGAACTATGTTCGTTGTCTCCGGTTCGAAGATAAGCCAGACTACAACTATCTGAAGCGCACTTTCCGTGAGTTGTTTGTACAGGAGGGTTACCATGTTGACTATGTTTTCGACTGGACTCTGAGACGCATTCATGAAAGTCTTCACGAAGAGACAAATAATGGAGGTAATAATGCCGCCCCACAAGGTGAGGGAAACTCACAACGACAGCCGCCACCGCAAGAGGGTGTGGAAGGTGGTGTACCTCCACAAACTTAAAATAAGTGTTGTAGTTTTTACTTATTTTCATTTAGATAATCTCTCTTCAGAAGAAGTCCATTTCAGAAGATGTTGAACTGCTAATATTTCAATGTTTTATATTAATTGTTAGTAAAGAGTCATATGGTGTTTTTTCCTTACGGGAAAGGATAAATAAAAAAAGCGGTGTTTAAATGCACCTCAATGAGTTGGAGAGGTAGACAGAACCCTCGTCAAATGAAAAAAATGCTGTAGAATGTCAGATGGACATAAACTTAATAAAAAGTATAAAGGGCTGAATGAGCGTTATAAATATACAGTTCACGCTCAAGAGTAGGTTGACATAGGCTCAAAAAGTTGAAATGCCTTATTTGAGGTATCTACCCGTAATATATATACAAACTGAAGGATGTCTAGTTAGTAAAATGAAAAAAAAGTATTTGAGGAAAGGAATACATCAAAACTTCCCTTCGTATGTGGTTCTCTTTATGACGTGGTGATTATAATTAGGTTCAAAAGAAAAGGGAAGCGTTAAAAGTCATCGAAAAAATTACTCTCTCTATGCGTAGTAGTGTGTCCTTGCTCTTTTTTTGGCACTTTATAATCACACTCGCTAAAAAATCTGAAAGTTGGTTTGTTTTCTATCGAAAACCCTTTGCATGTTGCATTCCTCTTCGTCTTTCACTTGTTTGTCATTTCAGTTTTAGGCAATTTATATTTGTTTTCGTTATAGTTATGTTTCTTTGTAGTCGAAAAAATTCGACACCCATATCGCTTTGGAGGTCACTTTTTTGCTTTTACTAACGCAGCTTCCAGTATATATAATGGAAAAGTAAACATGTTCTTTTCCTCTTTTTACTAATCATTTTTTATTCTTGTTGAGACAAGAATTAAATGACACATAGAAAATGACAAAATGCGAATTACGAGAGACAATTACCAAACCTTAAGTAAAGAAAAGGTTAAAGGAAAACAATTAACATCTTTTCTTTACTGAATAAGTCTGCGACTTCTGACAATGTCGACAGTATTGTGTGTGATCTTTCACGTATCCACGGTCTACAGATTAGTTGGCTAAGTAATATGTAAAATCTCTCATCTACACAGAGGAAAATAGACCCACGTAGAATATATGTGAGTCGGTTGGTGCACTCTTACTTTTTCCCAAATAGCGCCATTGTCTTGGGGTTTTGACCGTACGCCATTTATGTTACACCTGACACTAGTCCAACCCCCCTTCCCTTTTTTCCTGTTTTTTGTTACTATTTTCAATACCAAGAGCAACCGCCAACAACAACAAAAAGCAATAATAAACAGAGCTCTACACCCACAAGCAATTTTTCCATTTTTCTTCAACCCCCACGAGTGACCCCTCAGCCCGATCTGATGTTCCACCCTCACCCTCGCCCGACCCTCATGGCAACCACCCTTCCCAAGCCCCCTGTGGAGCCCCGGGAGGGCAGCCCCAACGGCGAGACCGAGAGCCTGGGCCGGAGCCTGGCGAACCCCGCCGAGGAGGATGTCCCATCCATCCTCGCGGGCCGTTACAAAACACGGCTCTGTCGCAACTACCTCGCCACGGGGGGCTGTGCGTACAGCACGCGGTGCATGTTCGCCCATGGTGAGCACGAGCAGCGAACAACCGCGGAGAACCTGCGCGACGGACTTGTAACAGCGACGGCCATTAAGACCTTCCAACGGTCTCAGGCCCCAGGACGACGGACAGGGGGGGGAGGAGGGGTGCTGGTAAAGCCACCCCACCCCCGCTCGCGAGGCCTCCCGCCCCCGCCCTCCTTTGAGGAGGCCACACGCCAGGTGACGGAGGAAATTCCGCCGATGGTGGTGTGGGGGGAGACCCCTGAGGGGACGCGGTGCTACCGACACAACCCCTACCTTCCGGCGCTTCTCCACACCGAGGATCGCCTCTGGAGCGAGCCGATTCCGATGGAAGGGGAAGAAGAAAGGGTTTACCTCGAGCTTAATCAGCAAATACCTTGTGAGGGAGGGATAGCATACGATGTTCCATACGGTAGAAACGGGTACTTCCCGGCAGAGATCTACGGTGATGTGGAGCCTTTTGAAGGGGTAAACAGATCACAGACTAAGTATTCGACCGCATCGGAAATCTCGGAAAGGTGTAGCAACTGGAAGTTATGCACCTCGCTACCGATGAAGCCGGGCTGTAGCTCTGTAAATATGTACGAAGAGGACGAACTACGCAGCAATACTGGAATCATCTTGGAGCCATAAGATGTAGGCATCTAAGAAAATTCATGACTACTAATTAATATATATATATAGTAATCTGACAGTTGATGAACTTTTAAAGAAAATAAACTCAGCTAAATATATATATATATATATATATGTATGAAGGAGACGAAACAGGGAAGTTCTTTGGATTAAGGAGTCTAGATATATTTTTCCCTCGTAATTCAGGAGAAAAAAAGAAATCAGATAAAATTAATTATAGTACATTAATAGACTAAACTGACCCTGCTACAAAAGAACACTGGCTTTGCTTTTTTCACAAGGAGAAAAAGTGAATGTCCTTCGTCTCCTTAGGGAAGAGGTGGCTTGGTGATACGAATAATACTGATAAAAAATCGTAAACTGGTCACTTTTTTTGCAAGATTTTTCGCTTTTGAATCCTTACAGGAAAAAATTACCTTTGGATTGCATAAATTTGTATAGGGTTCAAATTCGAAAAGTCTTTTTGCATATATCTTTCCTTCCCACTTTCTTAGGGGATGGCGTATACATTCGAGATTCTTGTGTGGTCAACAAACATAGACGAAAAATAATAATAGCGCTAATGATATGTTGGATTGATTTCGTTCCAAATGTTAATGAAAATAGCAAAGTAAGCAGTAGGTGAGATATAAGCACCCTAATCTACATTTTTTCCTGATTGGCCTTTTTGAAATCTAGATTTTCTCTAGAATCTTGGATTTTCTTCCCTTTTTTTTCTGAGCGGTTTATATATTCCTTTTTTCCTGCTTTGCTCGCATTCGAAATGTTCTAAACCAAAAGTGGTGATAAATTAGCTTATCAATTATAATGTCCTCGACATAATCTTGCTTTAGTGGTTACTAATTTATTTTTTATTGATTATTCATTTTTTAGTTTGTTTGTTTTTTCCCTTCCCCCGAGACGCATACCTTACCCCCATTTTTTCCTTTATTCCCTTCTCACCTTGTTAATCTTTCTTTATTTCATCTTTTTCTTTCCTTACCCCCCATTTCTTTATATGACTAAGATAAGCATTGCATTGTGTAAGTGAAAGAATGCTTTTAGACTTTTGTATTCGGAGGCAAAAAAAAGGTTAGAAAACAAAAAGAAATGCCCTTATCATGTGAAACTTGTAAAAGGCAGTTACCTTGAACTTTATCACCTTCTTTCTCGTATTAGCTTTTGATGTTCCTTCGATTTTTTGAAGTTAAAAAGTGTAAAATTTTTAGATTTGGTTGTTGTGATTCTCCCTCTATATAGTTTTCTCTATTGTTCTTTATCCTTATTGTAATAATAGTAAAATGTGCCATTCATTTAACGGATGGGCTAAAGAAAAGGGAAAATATTTTTTTTATGTAAAACTTGAAAGAGAAGCCCCGTGTGGAAAAAACCCATGCAAGCTGTAAAAAAAAAAAGAAAATTTAAAGTATAAAATTCAGAGTACACAAATGAAAAAGTATAGATGGGATTGCTTTAAAAAAACCGTAATAAGTTGCTTTTGTGCTAAATGAAGATGAAAAAAAATGCAACACCATAATAAAATTTGTTGTTTCTTTTTGCTTTTTTGCAATGCAATGCTACTTTGTATCTTTATTTATTTTTTTTCGCTATGAATATGTCTCAAAGCAAAAATAACTCACCGATTCGTCCTTTTAAGTTGTCATCATTCTCATGTACTTCTGGTGTGATATTTTTTCTAAGACAGTCAATAGCGACTTTTTTGTTGTTTCTGTAAAAAAAAACAAGATGGGAAAAAAAATCACTTTTATCTCCACTGGACGATGTTTCGTTCTTTTTGCACTCAGAGCCGTATTCAGAGTAACTCTGTGGAAAATAGCATCTTTTTCCTTTACAGAGGTAAGGCGTATCCTCCCCCATACATATCTTCTTCTTCACTGTTATATGTAAAGAAAAGAACTGTAGCTGCATTATAATATTGAATGTAGTGAAAAGGGTATGGATGGCTTAAATGGCAAACTATTGGCCTACATCTCTGGGTAGAGAAAGAGAGCAAAAAAATGAAGAATGAAGCATTGAGAAAAATAAGTGATCTTTTGGAAGGGATATACTAGGTATAATACTAATTTCATGCACATACAATATTCAAAAAGTACTTTGTGTGCATGATAATCATGTTTTGCTTGGATTGAGTCTAAATATTTTTGCTTGTTTTGTTCATTTTTGCTTTTCTTTTTGCCTTCAGATACTATAATATAATCTTTGTTTATGTGTGTGCTTCTTTTTCTCGTGCTTTTTCGATTTGACACCATTTCGAAAACGCCATTCTAAACTAAATTACCCATCCTACGCCACGTTAGTTTAGACTTCCTTTATTTTACTACATGAACTTCTTTCTTCATGTTTACATGCAGATAATACTCCCATAATAAGGAAATAGTCTAAGGAAAATCTTAAATTCGGATGATTGCCCTATGTTAAAACTGTGAAAAGTAATCCAAGGAAACTTAATGAGTTTTCTTCATCTCTTATTGATTTCCTTTGACTTTTTTCAAACTAAAAAGTAGTTTGAAGGAAAGGATTCGCGAAACCTATAGAAAATTTAAAAAATCACCAATGACCTCTGATAAATTATAGTTCTTAAATATTTTATAATTATCCCATAACTTCTGATTTTCCTTTTTAATAATTATTTTCCATAATTCGTTGAAAGAGTTCCTCTCAATAATGGTAATACTAAAACTTACATATTATTGGAGGACTTTCTCTACTTTTTTGATCCCTGATATGTATATATATATATATATTACTTTTCCTTTTCTCCAAACCTCTTCACAAAGTCTACTTAACCAAAATTCAGGTGTGAAACAGAGTGTTGTAAAGGAATAGAGTATATACCAAATTCAATATAATTTTAAAAAAGACTTAGTGGGGAAATTTTGAAACTACCAAAATCAATTTTTCTGGTGAAGAATTGGAAAACAAATATCTTATCAGTACCAAACCAGAAACTATTTATAGAGAGAGAGAGAGAGTTTCTCATGCGCGCCAAGATGCGAGTGCCCGTGACCCCCCTGGTGGAAGGGGTGGATATTCGCAATTTGTACGACATCGACCACGTCGTCCCAATAGGAAAAGGGTCCTTTTCTGAGGTTGTGGAGGCCCGCCACGTCCCCACGGGGGTAATCCGCGCGCTGAAAATCGTCCAACGTGAAGAACTCAACGGCCCCAAGGCGGGTATCGTCATCCACGAACGCGAAATCCTCCGTCGGACGCGGCATCCAAACATTATCACCCTGCACGAGACCATCCGCACCTCGGATCAGTTCTACTTCGTCTTCGATCGCATGGACGAGGATCTTTTTGAGTTCATCGTGCGCAATAATAGGATTAATGAGACGCTAACGCGGCGAATTATTCACGCCATTTTGTCCGCCGTAGTATACCTCCACTCTCAGAGCATTGTCCATCGTGATATCAAGCCCGAAAATGTTCTTATAAACGTGCGATACAACCCACACCCATCGCGCTCGAAATCGGAGAAAAAGGTCAACGAGACTTCAGAAGCGGTGGATATTAAGAAAAAAGGTGTGAATAACATCAATCCGGATCACCTGGAGTTGGAGATAAAGCTGACGGACTTTGGATTTGCGAAGCTCGTGATGGAGTGGGATGTGCGAAATACGCCGTGCGGGACGTCGTTTTACATCGCGCCGGAGATTATCCGCGGGATCGAGGAGCAGGGCTCCGAACCGCTTTGCACCACCCAAACCCTCGTCAAAAGCGTGGATGTGTGGTCGGTAGGGGTTGTAATGTACATCCTCCTTTCCGGATGCCCGCCGTTTTATGGGCAGGTCAAAACCAGCGATGAGCGTCGTGCGCTTCTCAAAAAGATCAGCCACGGCGTTCTCTTCAGCTCCAAATATGGCTGGGATAAAATCAGCGACGAGTCGAAGGATTTGATTCTGAAAATGTTAGAGCAGGACAGCGTCGCGCGCATCTCCGCCGCGGAGGCGCTCCAGCACCCTTTCTTCACCAAATTCATGAACAAAAACGCCAACACAAAGGGCTTTCCCGCCCCTTTGACGGATGACAAGGCGGGATTTCATTCCTACGGTATGGACCGCGTCGAGCGCGCAAACCCTCGCCCGTCGGGGAAGTCCAATAAATCGAAAAATAGCGTCCTCGGCGACCCCGTCCAATCCTCCAACAAAAGCCGAAAGCCGGAATACGACGAGATATTTCCGCCGGATCGGGAAAACGTGCCGTGTATGACGAAAAATGAACAGGAACGCCTGCAAGAGGAGATCGCCGCCCTGCAAGAAGAGGAGCTGCTCGCGAACGACAAGGAAGGCGACGTCACCGCGTATAAGCGGGCCATACCAATGGGTAAACAGAGGCCCGCCCGTGCGGCCGTGATGAATACCAAAATGAAAGTAGGGCCTTCTGCATTAAGGGATTAAATCTATAAAATAATAATAAATTTTTAAAAAATGAAGAAAAAAGAAGGGTATGATTCCCTATGCGCACGGATCTTGTAACAGTACCAAGAGCAGTTATTATTATTATATATATATATATAAAGTAACCACCGAATAAAGTTATTTTGGTGTGTTTTTTCTTTTTTACTTGCTCTAGTATTCTTCTCAATCGAGGCCTTAACAATGAAAACGATCATACAAGCTGAGGCTTTGATTTTAATGTCCCATATAGTTTTAACCCGATTCTTTGAAATATTTTTTTTTGGTTGCTCTTTGTTGCACAAATATATGTACACATCTATAATTCAAAATAGTGCCTTTGATATTGTAGTAATCTTTTTTTAAAAAGATAATGAATTCTCTTTGAGCAACATAGGAATTGGATATCTTAATATAAAACTCTGTTCACTACTATATTATCATTAAAATTGGATTTTTACGATTATTGGTCACTGTTATGATTCTTTTCCAGCTGATGGACATTCCTTAATCCTGTTACCAAATTCGAGGGGGTTGTGTATTCCCTTTTTACGTTCTTCATGTGTGTCCCCTTTCTTATGCCTTTTATAATCCCTCTTCTTTGGTGTTTTCTACGAAAATGAGACGGAAAAGGGATTAAAAGGAAAAGAAAAAAGCCCAACTTATTTCAAATATTCTTGGTTATTATTGCTAGGCAAGTTCGGTGCTCACTGGGCCGATGCATCGTCTAGCTCGCTCCACCCGTTACCTTGCCAATCCCAGCCCTCTAGCGGCAATGGGGTTCACGACCATCAGTCGTCGTTCGCTTTTTGTGCAAATGACCCCCTCTTTGCGATTTCCATGGCATAACGCGCAACGCCGCCGCGGGCAAAACGCGCATAAAACCCACATCCTCGGCTCGACGGTTTCGCTTGATGGGCCGCCGAGCGCCACCACGCGTAGTGCGAGTGTGCCCTTGCCTCCGCTGCGCTGCCCGGGCGGGCCGCGGCTCAAATCGGACGCGCTTAAACAACTTTTTAAGGTTCCCCACGCGGGCTACCTCGCGAAGTATGACCAACGCTTCATCATTAATCTAAAACTAACGCATCAGATCATTACAACGCTGGCTCAAACCTCCTTCCGCACGCCCGACAAGTTGTTGATCGAGCTTGGACCTGGGGCGGGTTCGCTCACGCGCAGCCTACTCACGCGGCCCTGTCTGGGGGTTTTTGGGATCGAGATGGACGAGCGCTTCAACCCGCATCTGGAGCAAATCAGGATCCTCACGAAGGACAAGTTCCGCTGGATGAACGCCGATATTCTAAAACTCAACGAGCTGGACGCCCTACGGCACCATTTCCCGGAGTTTTGCCGGCAGAACCTTCGAAAAAAACCCGACGGCGCGGACGACAAGACGGGCGGGCCCCGGCGGGCGGAGGAGGCGGGGGACGAGGCCGCCTTCGCGCCGCTGCGGAGCCGCGCGCGGGAGGCCGCGCTGCGAGGCCGCCGCGCGCGATGGGGCTTCGAGCAAACCCCCCACGGCCCCCCGCGGGGGCATCGGGAGCCGATTTCGCCCAACCCCGCTCTGGATATCACCGAGGCGTGGTGGGCGAACGGGGAGGCCAAGCTCGAGGTGCTGGCGAACCTCCCGTTTAACCTTATTGGGGAGGTGTTGCTGCGCTACGCCGTGGACTGCTCGCGCCGGGCCGGGCTCTTCGCCTTCGGCCGCGTCCCTTTGCACGTGTTCGCGCAAAACGAGATCGCCCAGCGGCTCACCGCGCGGCCGGGCTCCCTGGACTTCTCGCGGCTTTCGGTGCTCTGCCAGGCCTACTTTCACGTCCGCACGGTGCGGGTCTTTCAGGAGTGGACGTACTACCCCCGGACGGCGGTGCTCGGGGCGCTGCTCAGCCTGGAGCCCCGCGCCCAGGCCTTGGATGGCGGGGAGGGCCTCGACGGGGCGGCGCTTTGGCACTTCGTGAATCTTCTCATGGGGCCTGGCAAACGCGGCTGGGGGATCTACAAGGCCCTCCGCGGGTTCCTGCCGGACGAGGTCGTCCAGCATCTCCTGCAGGAGTCCCGCATGGACGGGGCCACGACGGTCCTCCACCTGACCGTCGAGGAGTTGGTGAAGATGGCGGGGATGTGGAGACGCTTCCTGATTGCCTCCCAGCAGCATACCGCTTCCACAGGCTAACCAAATGCGGGATGGATGGATTTAGTTTTTAGGGGGGGACTGGGGAAGGGGAGGGCCGGGTTGGTGAAACCTCAGCCGCCCTTCCTATTCGTACACCCACACCGGCGTGATGGGTGCTTCTTGAAATAAAAGGAAAGATGGCGTGGTACGCGCGATGCAATCACAAATTCGCCTTCTGGTTTTACAGTCAGACACCTCCCTCAACGATCTAACATCCTTGGGAACCATTGGTTCCACCTCTTTCTTATAACTACATTTATATATATATATATATATAGAGAGAGAGAGAGAGAGTTATATATCGAAAGTACT